GTCGACATCCTCGCACCCAGCATCTGATACTAGACCGGACAGTGAGCCTCCGGCAATCAAGAACAGCATGTACGACGAACCTCCGCCGGTGTCGACGAAGAAGAGCAGAAAGCTCGAGGCCTTGAAGCGCGCTCGGCAGGATCCTGAGTCTCAGAGGGAAGTGCGCGATTAGGGGGATGATTTGATGGCTGAAGTCGGTCGGAAATAGTCGTGCCCCCGCAGGGATCCAGGGAGAGGAGTACAAAGATCGATAGCGTTAAACGCGCTATGCAGGGTGCTGAGATTCAGGACCACGTGCCGGAGATGGAGAAGGGGCTGCCCTGTTTGGCAATCAGCGTCTCAGCGTCCGCGGCCAACGGGTGCACGGATACGCTATCATCGATAGGTTCGTCTGAAAGAAGCTCAGCGAGAAGGGCGCGACGTCTGTGGAGATCTGGAACTCTAAGACCACTATCGCGTACTTTGTCGAGCTCAATGACAACGTATCGCCGCATAGTAGAATCGTCGGACGATTACCAGGCAGGTAGACAAAGCATGTGCTACTCTCTCTCACAGTAGCCGCACATTGCCATCATTGCTGCGTGGCAATCTCTTGGGAGACGAGGCAACGCCATACGGTCAGATGCCGGACTGCTAATGTCTGTGGACACTGGACACCGCCGCAATTTACCACACGAAGTCCAAACTGACACTCAGCTCGCCCTCCGCTGCTACGCCAAGAGAAGTATACGAGGCTGGAGAGAGACGCTGTTGCGAGTGGCTATAGTTGCTAAGTTTAACTTTCCGCCCATCAAATCACCATCGATCGCAATACGATTAATTCCCCGATGGTCTAGTGGTCATGATTTCCGCTTGTCAAAGACGAGTTCTAGCTTTCACGAGCGCGGGAGACCAGGTAAGCAGTTTAATTCACTTGTTGCCAACATCTTAATTAACAAATATCGTAGGGTTCGATTCCCTGTCGAGGAGCATCCATCTTTTGCGTTGTTGTGATATATATGTTTTTGGTGACCTTTTGCCAAGCGAAACCACAACATGTGCGTCGCAAGCGCTCTCCATTCGTCTCACGAGGGCCAGGGCGGAAACAGCGGAATAGATTATGGCACACGCATTAATGCGATGACCGCGCGACTGCCTATGGACACACAAGTACGCAGCATCGATATTGATTCGCGATCGTCAAGAGTCAAAAGATACTCTCGTATTTGCACTTATGCACTATTTTGGAGTCCAGAACGCCATGCTCACGCTAATCCAGCAGTCGTCAAAATCACAGACCCCATCATGACCAACCCCATCATCACCTCTCCGCTCCTCCACTAGCCTGTTCCTCGCTTTCCTCCTGTCCCTCTTTCCGTGATGCCTCGCTTTGCTCCGCCACTGCCCCTGCTGCCTCTCGCCCGTCAAAGTACCCAATCCCTTCCTCTAATTCCAACTCAAAAGGCGTGATCACCAAGCCAGGACTTGCCAAAGGTGCCAGCCTCGGACTCAGAGGTTTCCTTTCCAGGCTGCCACTCCGACTCGCTGCAGCCTGCACGCTCCCTCGATGGAACATCAGCAGTTGCTTCTGCGCATCCGAGTACATCCTTGAGTGACTCCGTGGACTCATTGGCGCCGCCTGCGACGCTTCACCAGGTCCAAGATTACTATACTGATGTGTCGAAGGGAAGTTTGCTGGGTGGAAGCGTGGTAAAGATGGCAATTTTAGCGATCGCGTGTCGGCTTTGCGGGTCGTATTTCCTATCGTCGCTGCAGCGGTGCGGGTGTGCATCGATCTGGCGGACGACGTTGGCGGCTCGAAGCGGGGCGCTGGCGTGAAACCAGGCGAGAGCGGCGAAGAAGGTCGCATCCTTGGTGAAGGATGTGGGGAGGGTATGCGTGGTGCGCGGCCTGGCGAGAGGGCGCGCGGTGAGGGAGAGGGCGGAATATTGGCGGTTAGACTTGGGGAGAAGGCCAGTGCCAAGGTATGGATTTGTTGGTGGTAGGTTCCGCTTGAGTTGTATGTCGAATATTTGGTATCCAGTAGCAGAGCAGAGGGTGCAGTATAAGTACTAGCTCAGTGCAACATTCGTGCACCGCGATGTAGTGCAGAGCCGATAGCACGACGTCTGCAGTAGTGAAGTCCAAGATGTTTCAGAGCGGAGGTGACTGCGTCTGCCCAAACAATTCTTTTGCTAAGCGAGTACGAAATTCAAGCTGAAGTGCGCAGGCGCGAAGGAAGATCGTCAACAATTGGATGTGGATCTTCACTCACCGCGGTTGGTAACAAATCAACTCGAACCACATACGCAGATCATCGCCCAAGAAGCAACCAAGCAGCTACGCCATGCATGCCACGCAGCATGTGCTCCGCTCGAGCCCGAACCACGGATTGCATCAACGATGACCTTGCGTCAGATTTCCAGTGGCCTTGTTGC